TCAATCACAAATCACATGTCAATCGCAAGTCAAATCAAAGGCCATACACAAGTCAAGTCAATCGCAAGTCAAATCACATGTCAATCACAAGTCAAATCACATGTCAATCACAAGTCAAATCATAAGTCAATCACAAGTCAAATCATAAGTCAATCTCAAGTCAATCTCAAGTCAATCACAAGTCAATCACAAGTCAATCAAAAGTCAATCACAAGTCAATAACAAGTCAATCACAAGTCAATCGCAAGTCAATCACAAGTCAATCACAAGTCAATCGCAAGTCAATCACAAGTTAATCACAAGTCATTTACAATTCAAATCACTATTTATCACAGAAATTGGTAGGCACCAAAAATATGTTACCAGCTATAACGGTCATGCAGTGAATAGTAGTAAATTACAAGTCAATCACAAGTCAATCACAAGTCAATCAAAAGTCAGTCACATGTAATCACAAATCAATTCACATGTCAATCGCAAGTCAATCACAAGTCAATCGCAAGTCAATCATAAGTCAATCACATGTCAATCACAAGTCAAATCACATGTCAATCACAAGTCAAATCACAAGTCAATCACAAGTCAAATCACAAGTCAATCACAAGTCAATCTCAAGTCAATCACAAGTCAATCGCAAGTCAATCATAAGTCAATCACAAGTCAATCACAAGTCAATCGCAAGTCAATCACAAGTCAATTGCAAGTCAATCATAAGTCAATCACAAGGCATTCACAAGTCATTCACAAGTCAATCACAAGTCAATCACAAGTCAAATCACAAGTCATTCACAAATCAATCACAAGTCATTCTCAAGTCAATCACAAGTCAATCACAAGTCAATCAAAAGTCAATAACAAGTCAATCACAAGTCAATCGCAAGTCAATCACAAGTCAATCGCAAGTCAATCATAAGTCAATCACAAGTCATTCACAAGTCATTCACAAGTCAATCACAAGTCAAATCACAAGTCATTCACAAATCAATCACAAGTCATTCTCAAGTCAATCACAAGTCAATCACAAGTCAATCAAAAGTCAATCACAAGTGGATCACAAGTCAATTACAAGTTAATCACAAGTCATTTACAATTCAAATCACAGGTCTATCACAAGATAATCAGAAGTCAACCACAAGTCAATCACAAGTCAATCACAATGTCTAATCGCGAGTCATTCACCAGTCAATCACAAGTCAATCAAAAGTCAATCACAAGTCATCACAAGTCAATTACAAGTTAATCACAAGTCATTTACAATTCAAATCACAGGTCTATCACAAGATAATCAGAAGTCAATCAAAAGTATGCAGCCGGGGATGAAAAAAAGTAAGTCCTCAGTCACTTTTTGGGGAATAGTTTGTGAAACCATATGACTTGCCACTGACTTGTCGACTTGCGAGGACCGCTGTCATATGAAAATCCGACTCCTATGAAAATCGGACCCTTTTTTCCCCTTTTATTGGTTAATTCCTCGCACGTGACAGGTCACTCTTCCATTATGATCCTAAAATAGCATATTATCGTACTCTCGCATGCGCAATACTACCAATGAGTCCACATTTCATGGAGTCGGATATTCACGCTACACCGGACGACAAATCGGTGACAGCCTGATTGTCCAAAGGTTCGATAGTCCGGGTTTTTTTAGTCCGAAGGGTCATTAGGCCGAAGGTTCGATAGTCCGAAGGGCCCATTAGTCCGAAAATAGAATAACGTTAATATATCCGAAGGTTCGATAGTCCGAATAGACGATAGGGTGCGGCATTCCGAATCGACAATAAGGTTCGATAGTCCGAATAGATAGATGATAAGGTTCGATAGTCCGAATATACGGTAGGGTTGGATAGTCCGAATGGACAATGCGGTTCGATAGTCCAAATGGACAATAAGGTTCGAAAGTCCGAATGGACAATACAGTTCGTACGTCAGTCTGACTCTTCGGACTATCGGACCTTACTGTTGATTTGATTCTAACTATCGGACCTTATTGTCGATTCGGACTATCGGACCTTAGCTAGCCCTATAGTCTTTTCGTACTTACGAACTTCGTTATCAATTCGGAATAATGAAGCTTCGGACTATTGAACCTTGTTTTCATTTCGGACTGTTTAACCTTCGGACTGATTAACCTTATTCTAAATTTGGACAACCGAACCTTCGGATAAATGAACCTTCGGATTATCGGACCTTCGGGCTATGCATCAAATGTTCGGATTAACGAACATTATTTCATTTTCGGTCTTACGAACCCCCTCTTATGGGGAAATGTGTGCATTCGGACTATCGAACCTTCGGACTATCGAACCTTCGGACTATCGGGCGGACCCCGACAAATCAGCAAGACAGTATACTGTGTTAAGGCATAAAAACGTATCACACAGACACTATAGACCTTTTAAGTAGCGGCCATGTATGAGGGCATGTATCGTTACTCAATAATTCAGTAACAGTTAAAGGGAAGATACAACATTTGCAAACATCAAAAAACAAAATGATCAAATTATCACGAAATTCTTTACTGGACTGTTAGCGAATGACAGTCTAAAGCATCCTGTAAAATCATGGCTCCCGGTGTGCTGACATTTTTAAGTAAAGCGGTATTCGTGTATTTATTTCCAATGCTGGTCGGCCGACCAGCGTTGGAGAAAACTGGCTTTTTTTCAAAGACTGCTGCTAGTTTTTCATATTTAGTTATTCCGCATGTTTTTTGCAATTGACTGTGAAGGGGTACAAGCCAGCTAGACTGATTCTCTGACCTAATAATCCACCAACATCTATAAATTGCTCCGTTTCATCTTAAGTGGGATCAGGGAAGCAGACTTCAAGAACATGATTGGTTTTCTTGGTTTTTGCAGCATCTATGAACCCAAAACGTGAAACAAGTCAGTGTAACAATATATGCTATAACATACTATTCCTCCAAATCCATTTATTTCTGAAAGTTACAGCAAAAGCAAATGTTGTACATTCCCTTTAATGCACACAAGGTTCACTCATGCATATCCCAGCCAAAAAAAAGGCATTGCCCTCTAAGATGGCTGCTGCGCATAAGCTCTACCACGTCCCCTCCCCATCAGTTATTGGAGAAAAAACTCGAAGTATTCGCTTGATAGACATTATGCGACACAGTCAATTGACCCAGACAGGTCTTTGTCTAGTGAACCTTTAGTATGACACCTGCAAATTCTTCGTTATGAAAAAAAGAACAAGTCGCTCGAGCACGTATGATCCTTTGGACTGAAAGCCAATCTGTGCATATCTGTAAAACAACAATTCTATTTTAAGAGCAAATGGTTTTAGTTGAGTACTCCTTCAAAGAGTTGAACGAATGACTATTCTTCAGATAGCTATCGACGACCCCCCCCCCCCCCCCCCCCCCCCCGCTTTGCGCGTTTGATGCGCCTCTCGAGACGTGTGTACAATAGGGAACAAAAGATTGTATTGACGTCTCCACAGGAAAATTTCCATAGATGAATAGGTCTCCACAAGGTTGTTACGAAATAGATATATGGATTTTACTCAAAAACTAGGAATTTTCAAGCTACATGTATGTTGATTTGTCGCAAATGGAAGAGTTTTAGAAAAGGGATATTAAGTCTAAATTTCAGCCAAGGAAATTAATTCTGGTTAAAATAAGAGCATTTTTAAACTACACTTTCAAACTCGAAAACTTTAGTACACGAGAACAAAGGAATGTCTCCACAAGGATACAAATTCCAGTATGGGTGGACCTAACTGTTTGCCACTATAACTGACTACAACGAACGAAAAAGGTAAAGGTTGCCATATTGCTTGTTCTTCCTATCGAGCAGCCTGTCAACCAACAAAATCTCAGTCCATTTAATTAAGATCGCAATATGTCAGTGACAACGTACAGTCCTTCCTCCGCATGGAAAAGGGCGTAGGTGACTAGCTCTCCATATAAGTATGGATTTCACGTGCGCGCATAGTACATGTGCGCGTGTACCAACCTCGTCCCGGAGCCAACCTTATTTTCCAACTCGTTTTCATCGACATCGTGGGAACGAGTTTGACACATGCATATAATTGCCATAAGGTTGCAGACCAGTAAATCGGTCCGAAATTGCCTGCGCCGGCCAAATCACGATTTGCATGCCCGCAAAACCTTCAGTATTTGAGCATGCTGTGGGCCGGCCCATGAACTTGAGGGTTTGTAAAAAAATATGGGTGGAAGCCGTGCACAGGACTGTGAGCTTGTAGTTCCGTTCAATTTGGATGAAATTTTGGGGCCCTTAAAGCGCTCTATTTTGCAATGGAGTGTAGGCATCGTTTATGGCGATGGGCTTCAGGACTATTCTCAGGGGTGATCATCTTCGGATGGAAATTTCTCTTAAAAGTCATCCGTTGACCCCCCGAAAATTGAAAAGAAAATGAAAGATGATGAAATAAGCTTTAATTTGATGTGTGTCTCGAACACCTTGGAGAGTTGTGAGTATTTTTCCCGAATTTCTGAAGTGGGCGCATTTACCATTGGGGTCTATGGAAGTTTCTTTACTGCTCTGTAACCATAATCAAGGCGCCCTGCCTGTATGTGGGTACGAAGCCACGAACTGCATAACTGCTCACTGGAGAGTGTTATTGAAAAGAGGGCGCTGTTTACCTCAACCGGTCTCCAGTTCTCTGATGGCTCTTGGGTATTATAGTGTACAATTCACGCCGCCCCTTCAACACGCGCCCAACAATACGTCAGCCCAAAGTCCGTGTGGACACTCCCACCCACCGAAAAAAAACTCTGGCTGTTATTAGTGCTTACATAAATAAAGGACAAAGAAATGAGGGGTTTTTTTTAGATCATGGTTTTTCTTTGAATAAAAAAAAACCTCCATCGGCACACTTTGTTCACTTTTATAATTACACAGTTTTCTGCATTAACAGCGCCACCTTGTGTCAACATTTTGATGATGTCCAGGAAAACAAAGCAACTCCACCTCCCAGAAATCAAAACACACACCCAAAACAAAGCACAGAGGACACTGCCGTACCTTTTCTGAAGATATTATACCAGTTTAATTTTTCCTTTTCTTTCAAAAATTAAAAAGGTTTTTGAAATAATAATATGGTTATATTTACAAGTTTCACACGATTTTTGTGGTGTCCTCAACCAAGTTAACCATTAAGTTTTATACACTTTACCTGCCAAATCTAGGAAAGCACTGGCAGGCAAAATAGACCAATACATAAGCTTCGCGCTGAAACGCTTTGAACGATCACAGCTGTGATTTATGTCTGGCAATTTTGGATATTTTGCTGTTGTAAGGTTTCTTTTCTTTGGTGATTCGTTGTTTAGTCGGTACATGGCACCAGGCCAATGAGCAAACTTTTCTCACATATGTTTCCAATGAGCAGAGTTTTGGATTCACGTTTTAACAGAAAACCCCTAAACTGAACAGGGTCTCCCTGAAATGACATCACAGCACTGGCCCCCTCAGTTGTCCCGAAAAGCATAGACATTTTTTTAATGTTGATAGAAGTGCACTTTTGAATAATATTAACCAAAAAGGCATGTTAAATAGGTTTCATACATTTTAAGAGGAGCAGAAAGTTGCACAAAATGCTTTCCTAAGAGAAATTAATTTCACGGACACTTTACCGAACCAGTCTATCAAATCTCGTGCGCGGTTTGGTTTGTGTGGGCAAGTTTCTCAGAGTGCGCGCTGCTGATTTCAACTGAACGTGCACAACCCATAGGGTACTCTTCGCATGAGGGACGCACCTGAGCACAGACCTTTTTTACAGATACCGCCAATTTAGGGGTCAGGTGGCAATCTCGGGGGACATCTCACTAAAAATTATGACTTTAAGCACGGATCCTCTACAGAAGGATAAACGACTCATCAGAGATTGTGTACAAAATGTACAGAACGGTTTGTCTAGGGGCGTGATATGCCGCGACTGCGCATAAAACAACGCATAGAATGTGTAGAACGATGCGCGCGTGCTATGATCGCCGACAGCTGGCGTCCTGACAGAAATTTGACCACTGAAAGACTGCATTTGCGCGCCGATTCTCGCGCAAGCGTATGCACGATGCCCAAGTGCCATATCAAGGTCTAACCAGAAATTTTGGGAAGTCGTTTCCCCTTGTGCAGAAGATCCGTGCTGGCACCCCAAGACTTCCACGTGACCTCAAAGATGACGGTGAATTTAAAAGACGGTCTGTGGGTGCAGGTAACCACATGCAACCCTAAGACTTTGTTGGTAGTTCCCAATAAACTGGTGGAGAAGAAAGGTAGAAAAATAAAATATGCAACAGGAATCAGCAGTTCTCATTACGCCGACATATATGCTTTATGTCTCGTCTCCCACATTGAATTTCACTACGTCGTCATTGCGACCTTCTCCGGCATTCTCGGCAGAAATATCAGCGCTGTCCGTTTCTTTGGCAAGGTTCTCCTCGGTTGAAGCGGCACTTTCTCCCGGAGTCTCCTCGGATGGGAGAACTGCTGCCTCTTCTTGCTCTTCGTTTGGCGATTCAACAATGGTCTCTATCGTCGTGGGTTGTATAGTAGGTTGTGTCGTGGGCTGTGTCGTGGGTTGTGGTGGGGACTGGTTCTTGTCGACCCCTTCTGCTTGCGAATCGGGAGGGGGGGGGATAAGATATTATACAAATCAGAATCTTGACCCAAGTAACTCAAACAAGACTCAGACTTGGACTCAAGTGAGTCCAATAAAACTGTCACAAATCATCACAGGTCATAAACAGGACAAATCAGAAGTAGGTTTGCCTAAGCCAAACTTCACATTAATAGCTTTGAGTGTACGTGTAAACAGGATAAATTGTAATGGACTTGTGATGACTTGTGATCACCCTGTGATGACTTGTGATGACTTGTGAGTTGATTTCTGATGACTCGCGATTTAACTTGTGATGCCCTGTGATTGACTCATGATTGACTACAGATTGACTGGTACATTAATTTCTTGTCACTTGCGGGTAACTAATGATGACTTGTGATGACTTATGATTCAACTTGTGATTTGACTGTGATCTGACTTGTGACGACTTGTGATGACTGTGAGTTGACTTCTGATGACTTGTGATTTGACTAGTGATGACTTGCAATTTAACTTGTGACGCCTTGTAATTGACTCATGACTGACTTCGGATTGACTGGTAGATTGATTTCTTGTTACTTGCGGATAACTAATGATGACTTGTGATGACTTGTGATGACTTATGATTTAACTTGTGATTTGACTGGTGATTTGACTTGTGATTTGACTGGTGATTTGACTTGTGATCTGACGTGTGATGTTTTGTGATGACCAGGATTTGACTTGTGATTTGAATCATCATTTGACTTGTGCTTGATTTGTATCAACTTGTGATGACTGACTTATGATGACTCGTGGCAATTTATGACGACTTGTGATTTGACTTCTGATGACTTCTGATGACTTGTGATTTGAAGTATCATTTGACTTGTGATTGTCTTGTGTCAACTTGCAATGACTTGCGAATGACTTATGACGACTCAATCACAACTCTACTCACCCTGTGCATCTTCTTGTTCCTCACCTGCAGCATCTGGGACAGTCGGCAGTAACGGCTTCAGAGGATCAGCGAGATTATCCACATTGAGCGCTCCGATGTTGCCCTAAAAAAAGAATGACATCAAACCTCATTTCCTTAAAGGTAGAGTCCATCATTTGCAGCCATCCGAAAAGTAACTGGCGTAATTATTGTTGAAAAACTAACTTGGTTGAAAGATAGTAAGGGAACTAAACTCCCTGTGAAATTATTCTTTCTGGGAAGCTGTCATTTTGAAGTAATCAGCGAAAGAAGGCATTTCCAACGGTGATTCTTAAGAAGCACCGTAGGAAAATTTAAATTAGTAGTTCGTTTTGTTATTCAGCGCAGCGCGCACAAGTATTCGAACGATGCACACGCGCGCGCGGTTGTTATAATTCGTCGGATCAGTGCGCGACGTCGCGTATAGTTGCAATTCAAAACAATTCAAAACATGATTCAGCAACTTTTGATTTGAAATTGAGATCCTAGAATGCTGTTTTTCTCGGAATGTACAGCTGAAGCTTAGCTGAAACTTCATCAGGTTAGTTGCTCAGTATCCTTCATTAAATTTTGAACTCTTTTGTTGCTTCAAACGAACAAAATGCACAAATTACAAATGATGGACTCTACCTTTAATCTCTTTCAAGTCTTTAAAACTTCCAATCTAAGCTGTTACATTCGTCCACGCCTTCTCGAAAATATCTCGTTAAGATTGTAACAGTTTAATTAAAATAAAATCGTGTTTTCTTAACTCATGCCATGCTTGCGCTGCGACGAATTGATTCTGTTTTTACCCCAGACACCGCATACAAAAACAAACGCAAATGTAACGCACAGGTAGGCACCAGACTATATCTCATTTGCATATGTGTTCAAAAATCTTGCACATACAAATGATCCAATACCAGGGTGAGAGAGCAGGTAGTGGTGGGCGCGTACTGCTCGACACCCTGGGGACGAGGTTGATCAGGTATATAACTGCTTCAACCCACTATTATACCCCTTTATTTAGTCTCACCAGTTTCTGTACGTCGGAAACTGTGACTCCCAGTGTCGTGGCGATGGTTGCCGCGGGAAACAAAGCCTGCAAACATCGGTTCATATACGGGATCAGATCGTACGCCGCTACCTGGCAAAACTGAACGAAGAAGGCCCTCTCCTTTTCGTTGAATGTGCTCTCCTCCGCTCTGAAAATTTAAATAAACAAGACGAGGCACGCTTAGTAAAGAGTGCAAAAAGTTTTGTTGAATTGATTTAAAATGGCTATTCACTGGAAGTCTTTTCATGAAACGGGTCGATGCAGTGGGCCGGATGTAGCCTATTCACGGGCGTTACGGGTAATCCTATACAATAGCACTGCCCGACTCACACGTGACAGTCAGTGAGTCAGTCAGTCAGTCAGATACGTACAAAGAGAGAACTAGGTATGCCCTAGTACAATGAAAAGGACAATGAAATAACTTTCAAGTTTAAAGGTACAGTCCATCATTTGCAGCCATCCAAAAAGTAACTGACGTAATTATTGTTGAAAAGCATACTGGTTGAAAGATAGTAAGTGGACTAAACTCCCTGTGAAATTATTCTTTCTGGCAAGCTGTCGTTTTGAAGAAATCATTGAAAGAAGGCCTTTCCAACGATGCTTCTAAAGACGCAACGTTGGAAATTTCCGTTTATAGTTCGTTTTTTTATTCGGGGAAGCTCACACAAGCTTTGACATGACGCACACGCACACGCAGTTGCTGTAATTCATCGGATCAGTGCGCGACATCGCGTAGGTGTAATCAGCTCAGTAAGAACGTGTCTCGGACGCTGAATTCAGGCCCAAATCAAAACATGACTCAGCAACTTTTGATTTGAAATTGAGATCCTAGAATGCTGTTTTTCTTGGAATATACAGCTGAAGCTGAGCTGAAACTTCATCAGGTTAGTTGTTCAGTACCCTTCTTTAGATTTTGAGCACTTTTGTTGCTTCAAACAAACATAATGTACAAATGACAAATGATGGATGCTACCTTTTATACAAAATGGGTCTGTAGAGGGGGCATACGAGGAGTCAGGTTGGCGTAGCGGTACTTTCCTCGCCTTCCACCGCTGTGACCCGGGTTCGAATCCCGCCTGGGCCAATATGTGGATTGGGTCTTCAGTCCCTACCTGATTCCATGGGTTTTCCCCAGAGTATCTTCTGGGCTTTTCCTCCCACCTCTAAAAACTGTAATTTCTTCTCATTGTCTTCTCTCTAAGTTGGTGTGATGTTTCCCCTGAGATGCTTTACCGACTATAATATACAGATACAGATACAGATACGCGAAGACGCAAAAGCTTGTAAACATGGTCCCCATGGTACATGCACATACAGGAAGTGGAATATAATTTCCAGTGCACAATTGTACGGCACTCATGTTACACACACACAGCGGGGGCACCAAGGGGCATGGATCTCTGCTGGAGGGGGGAGGGGAGAAAGGGGCACAAACAGATAGGCCAACCTGTGATAAGCCAACGTTGCCTGCACCACTGCTTCTAGTGAAGTGCGGAGAGCCGTCGCTACGTCGTGGGCTAACGCCACCGGCGCGCACAGCCTGAGATCGTTGAAAGCGTTCAGCGCGGCGTTGGTGTATACAGCCAGAGGGGGGTGGTCCATTAGGACAGTGGGCGGGGCCAAACTCTTGTCTCCCTGAACGAAAAATCAAGTAAATGGACTAAATAACAATGCCATGGATAATTTTTTATTGGTAATGAAGAAGATATCCAACAAGTGATATATGCATTTGAAAAACTGAAAATTTTATTATAATAATAAAAATGATAATAATGATAACCGCTAATGGGTCACTTGGGAGAAATTCCCATAGACTTGTACACACATTTTTTCCCAACTTTAACGTCACCTAACCCCAATTTTACAATACCCATCCCCCAGAAATTTTGTATCTTTATGTTTTGGATGTAGAGCAATTGATCAAGCCTACTTGCGACAGAAAAACTTGGCCTCTAAAAAGGAGCCGTGACATTAGGGAGACATTGAAATATCCGGTGTATCCTTAAGGTCTAATTTATGATGACAAAATGTCTCCTTTTTTAAAGGTACAATTAACAGTTGTAGTACAAAGCATTTGTAATGCACTCAGTATCTAAAAATAACAGTATTCAAAGACGTTGGTCAGTGAAAAGTCAGTGTGTGTGAAATTTTGCACAGTGATGAAACTTTAAAGAAGAAAGAAAACAGTATAACAGCTGTTTTTAAACTTTGCACTTTATTGCATTCTTAAAGGGAATGTACATCATTGGCTTTTGCTGTAATTTTCAAAAATGAACTATTTGAGGGGTTAGTATAAAAGATCACATATTGTTACACTGACATGTTTTGAGGTTTTGTGTTCGAAAATGCTGGAAAATCCAAAAAAAACACAAATGTTCAAGTAGTCTGGTTCCCTGACTCCGCTAAAGATGAAATGGATAAATTTATAGATGCCAGAAAATTGTAAGGTAAGGGAACCAGTCTCGCTGGGCTGCACCCGTTCATGAACATGCAACCAAAAGCAAACAAATTTGGACTGAAAAAGGTAAATTCGGAGCAGTAGTTGAAAAATAGTTAGGTTTTTCCAATGGTGGTCGGCCGACCACAATTGGAAATTTATACAAAAATGTCACTTTTCTTGAAAATAATGACTTCACACCAGGTGCCATAATTTTACAGGATGCTTTAGACTGGCATTTACCGACATCCTAGAAAGGTATTTCTAATAAATTTGGTAGTTCTGTTTTTCGATGTTTGCAAATGCTGTATATTCCTATTAAATTATGTTTTAATTATTATAACAGCCGTCGAGACTGATTTCAGGCAACCAGGAGAGGGTGGGATTCTAAAAGGTTACAAAATGGCGGTGATCACATTTTGGAAAAAAACTCTTCAATTTTGAAATGGTCACATGGCTAAATGGGCGTCTTAAAAAACTTATCTGGGCAGCCTTCCCTCCTAAACCTCCTGTAGAGAACGCTGTAAAATACATACCTGCATCGTTCCTGTGGACAGGGTACCAGTCGGCAGTGACGGCGTGGCAATTAACGTGTAGGAATGCATGGCCTCTTCAAACCTACAGGGAACCAAGGAAAAACTCCAATATCAACTCCAATATCAATGGCCGATCAAAGTTAACTTTTGGTCATAGTTTGTAGTTCCCAGTTGTTTTTGAATGCATTTGAGCAGCTACCTTGTCTACGTTTTGGAAAAGATGGCAGTATATCCTAATCTTAGATATCCTAATATTTTATGACGTGGTATGTCATAACCAGGCGGAATGGAACAGAGCTTCAAATGGAGAAACAGCTGCAAAATGACATGGAGGTTATTTCATCGAAACAATAATAGGTCAGTTTCTTTGATTCTGTATGCCCGTTGCTATGGTAACATTGTTGTGTTATAATGACACCTTTTCTGAAAGACCTGTTTTTGCTTTTGCTGTAATTGTCAGAAATGGATGGGTTTTAGGGGTTAGTATTTTATAGCAATTATTGTTACACTGACCTGTTTAAAGTTTTGTGTTCATAGATGCTAGAAAAACCAAGAAAAAAATGCTATTCTTGTAGTCTGGTTCCCTGACCCTACTTCAGACGAAACGGATCAATTCATTGACATCAGGGAATTGTCAGGTCAGGGAACTAGACTAGCTAGCTTGCACCCGTTCAAGAATGTGTAACTGCTTGCAAACAAAATGTGGACTAGCTAAATTTGGTAAATTGGGGGCAGTAGTTGAGTTTTTTGGTCAAATGTTTTGAGAGATAAAACATAGATTCCCATTCTTTAGTACCTCTTGGTTGCTTCATCCAACGCCACCGTGAACCCCCTCAGAGCCGCCCGCTGGAACAGTGGCGCAAGCAGCCCCCGGAAATCCGCCCCGACACGACTGAAGGACAGACCAAAGTACATACACTGACCCAGGAGAGAGTCCAGACGCCCACCCACACCCCTGGTCAGATCCCCCTCCAAAGTACGCAGGAACTGCGACACCTGGTTGAGCGAGAGATATACCGACACAATGAGTTTCAATCTAAAAAGTAAATTTTGATTTTGATTTACTATTTTACTAAAGTTATTCACTTTAAATGACACATTCGACAAAAAACTTTGCGTTATTTGCAGCCCGACGGTAATTCAGTTCTTGTAGGGTAGACTGGTTCCTGCCTCCCTTTCAGGATGTATTATGTAGGGACCGGGAACCAGTCTTCTCACTTTTGAATGAAAAACCAACTAACAGTTAGTTGTTGAACAAATACTTTAAATTTACACATTGGTCGAATGGTGGGTGATTTGCGACATAACTTGTGTCTCAGCGCATATAGTGACATGCATTTGTCTCTAGTGCACTAACTTAATTTGGTAAATTTGGGGCATTAGTTGAAAAAAGTCAGTATATTCCATTTTCTGTATTCACTACCAATAACTGAAATGATAGACTTGATTTCCAGGCTGAATGCTACGTGTGCTTAGCGCACCACATGCCCGCACACGGTGAAGCACATGCGAGGCGTCGTTCATTACTGCGTGCAAGTATGTTGGCCGCCTGTATCACATGCAGGCTCAGCAACAACAAAAACTTGTTTTTAAGACTACTTCAACAAACAGCGTTGTGCCATGCGTGTGCAATCCTTGTAACATGTAGGCCTACATGTACTAAACTCGAGGTAAAAATCAAGGCATTTCCACAGTTTTTCTTCTCTATTTCCCGTTTTCTTTTGACGGCCGGAAAAAAGAACAGATTATTTTTAAAAAACGGGATTCCGGCTAAAACTAGACAAGTGGCATCTCTGTTGAAAACGACAGCACACCAGGTGCCATGATTTCACAGGATGTTTGAGACTATTACTCACTTACAGTAAAGTAAGGTATTTCATAATAATTTGGTAGTTTTGTTTTTGATGTTTGCAAATGTTGCATATTACTTTAACATTATAACACACCTCTGGTTAATTCTTTATCGTGGTTGGCTAATGCACGGTTACGTGAGGTTCACTAATATAGGCTAGTGCATGAAATTTGCATCCCGAGTGAACTAGAAGTGCTTCAAGTATCGTGTGCACAATTTCTGGCGTATGCACTATACTTCAGGGGCATGTGTGGTCTAGCGGTGGAGCACAGGATTCATGATCGTGAGGTTGTGGGTTCGAGCCCCGCCGTGGCCGCGCGTGTTGTGCCCTTGAGTAAGGCGCTTTACCTCAATTGCTCCTCTCAACCCAGGTGTTAAATGGGTACCGGCATTATTCAATGCTGGGAAGGTAACAGACTCGCTGTGGAGGAGGTGTGGCGATCCCACCACAGCAGCATTTTATGGACTCGAGTCTGGCCCAATCGCTTCAAAAGAAAGATAGGCATTCTGCTCCTGTGAACACAGGTTCGTCCCTTTTATTTTCACTTTTACTATAATTCAAAGAAAATCTGCAATGTTCTCCCTAAAGGTGTCTTGATCTAGCATAGGATGACACTTTGACAGAGGAAGCTCGCTACCTTTTGCCCGACCCATCCATGGAACAGAGCGCCCTCATTGGTGGCCGAGTCCTGACTGGAGGACAGGATGGGGTCGTCGTCGGAGAAGATGGCTCGATACTGGGTGATGATGTCAAAGAGATGGACGCGGCTGGCCTCGATCACCTTGGTGATGTGGAAGTAAGCTGATGAGAGAAAGGTAGAATATTGAGTTCGCTGGCGCAGACGTGACGTCACACAGAGGTCAACTCGGTACAAGCATAGGCCCTTTTGCTAGGATGTAGCCTCAATCCTGCAAAATCCTCCAACTGGCCTCATGGAGAAATAGCATATAGCCTCAATCCTGCAAAATCCTCCGTTATTTCTTGAATATGGTCCATGGAGGGGTGACCACTGCCTGAATCCTGCAAAATCCTCCGGCTATGACTGTCAATAGGCTGAGGCAGAGGCAGTGACATCCTGGAGCAGTGCGGAGGATGTCAAGTATAATCAAGGACAAAATTTATGCACGTTGAGCATAAACAACACAAGGTCCGGCCCAAGACCTTGACACAGTGCGTACTCCGAAATCAGCAACGCACTTTTGCCATGTAACCTCAATCCTGCAAATTCCTCCAATTTGCAAAAAGGATTTTGGAGGATTCAGGGCGGTTATAGGGTTAAATTAATGGTTCACGCGCACTGCAACAGCCCATGCAGTAAACACAGTGGTTTCGCTATGGCTATTATGAATCCGTTTCATAAACAGGCCTAATTCTCCTCTTTGAAGCAAAAATAAGCTCAACTCAGTATTGTAGTAACTGGTGGTCCGAGTTCCAAATAGTCCACTTGAGTAATTCAACCGTCCTGTGTTGAAGTGAAGTTAGTCAAACTATACTTAACCCATAGTCCTCACCCCAACTTGCTCATACTTGAAGCAAAGTACCTGTTTCACATACTGATACTCACTAAATTTGTTCCCCCCATAGAGCTATATTAAATTACTAGAGCGCCAACTCCTCATTCTGCATGCGGAGACACTCTGAAGCCGTCCTGGGCGCAGACATTTTGAATTCATGTGCGTGTTTGTGGAACATAATGAAATTAGATAGATTGAACTTTGAAAGTGTACTCTACATGCAACGCACAAGCACAACATACGCAAACAACTTAAGCACGTCATTGACGGTTCAAAAAAACGTGACAGCAAAAAGCATCTGCAGCAAATACGCGCACGCGTTGCGCTGTTTGCGTAGAGCAAAATGACATGCTCATTTGCTGATAGTGCATTTCGGTTTTGGGCGTATTGGCTTCGATAACGCACCGGTATGGAATACAAACGAAGATATGAAAATAGCCTTACAAAAGCCGTACACAATTTCTAGGTCTCCATAGGTTTGTGCATAAACATGGATGCACCCAGCAGGCATTACTTTGTACACGAAGTTAGCGCTCTAGTAATTTAATATAGCTCTATGGTTCCCCCACTTGACTTTTTCAAAAGTGCATGCAGGGGGAACAAAATTTTGTTTACAGTTTGGTAGGCTTTTGCATATATGTTTAATACCCTGTCTAATAGAAAAAGTCCTTTGCAACATATTTGCCCATCAATTTATGCTCATACTCATGGACTCTTCTCATAATCCTACTCGAGCGAATGTACTTCAACTTGTACTCATAAACTTGTACTCTTACCCCTGCTCAAGTAAACATTGTTTTATTGACTCATACTTGTACTCACTTCAAGGTACTCGTGCTTGCACTCATTTTCATGGCAAAGAACTCATACTCGTACTCGTAACTCAAACTCATGAAATGTACTCAACTACCACACCGCATTTCTCCAAGCTTACCGTCCTCTTTGGCGACGGCTCCCAGAATGCCCTGGAACCAGGCGTCCCGAGCCTGCAGGAACTTGATACGCAGCTCGCTCTCGGTGAACAGGTCCATGCGACGCAGGTAGCCAATCAGACGCAGGCATGCCGGCAGCTGAATGCTAGTGCGCAGCTGCTGAAGCATCTGGTTCAACATCAGCTGCGTCGAGCCCTTCACTTCCTTCACAATGTCCTGACGTCACAGTCACGAATAATGATGATAATAAAATAACCTCTTCAGAGCGCCAAGTCCGTTAACATGCTCTTAGATAAGATTTGAAGGTGAAGGTTTGCATGGTCTAGATAGCACCATGCAACAAATCTTTTTTGTGGGTTTTGGGAGGTCCTGAAAAGAACCGGAGTGGCTCAACCTTTCGGACAGTATGCTCTGCCCGTCGTCAGTTTGACTGAAGACCGCCGAGCATCACAAAAAACATCACAATGGTGCATTTTCAACTTGCTACCCGACAACGGGCAGAGAAAACAATCCGAAACGTTGAGTTTCCCCAGTTATTTTCAGAACCTCACAAACCCATAAATGAGATTTGTTACATGGTTTAACCGTAAAATTCATCTTTTTAATATGCTCTGAGGCATTTTGAGTAAAGTTTAAGAAGATAGATGATTTTAAAGTTGAACAAAGAAATTGATCCCCATTTGCTATTTCCAGGGTTTGCAGTACTGTTAATGTTGCTAGCATCGTGACTTTGGGCATGATCCCTGGCTACATGGCATACATGGGTATATGGCTTCTGACTAGTGCCCCTTGAACGAAGGCGCTGACAAAATGGGGAACCGCCAACATAGGGCTGGATAGCTTGGTTGGTAGAGTACCGGAGCGGCAATCCGGAGATTGTGAAGGCTCAAACCCCGCTCCAGTCAATTTCTTTGTTCAACTTCAATTATGTTAATGCATGCAGTCGTTTTCCCTTTGTGGTTTATTTGAAAAAAAATTTAAGGTAAAAATTATTAATGAAAATACAATAACTGGACTGAATGCACAATAATTAGTTCTTAGAATGACTTTTATTACGAAATTACAACGAATTAGAAAAAGAAACAATAATACGACCTATTAAAACTTTGTAAAAAATGATAACACCCAATAAAACCTTGTAAAAACTTCGTAAGACCTCATAAAACCTCATAAACCTCCAGATAAACCTCGCATTGCTGCCTGTTCAATTACCCACCCTCCCCTTACCTGTATGACAGGAATGTTGGAGTGCTTCTTCTCCAGTCGTTTGACGTAGCCCGATAGCTCCAGCGCCTCCTCGTAGTAGCTGTTACGCACGCAGGTATCCATGAGCTGAGGTATCTCTAGGATCTCGAGGAGCTGCGTGTGCTTGGACAGGGTCAGGTTGTTCATCCGCCGACTTCAAAGAAAAGGAAAAAGAAATAATTTCATATGCGACCCAAATTACATGGAGTGCCGTGGCTTTGTGGTCTAGAGCACTGAACTTGGGGTCTGCGGGTAATTCTGCAGGTTGTGGGTTCGAGTCCAGCCTGGGGTTATGGTGTGTGTGCCCTTGGGCAAGGCACTTAGTCACTTATTGCTTCTCTCCACCCAGGAGTAAATGGGTATCTGTGAGGGCAGAGAAAGTAGATATTTTTGACCTTTGCCCTGATGGGACCTTTGACCTTAATGATGCTGATCTCCTGAGCCTCTTTCACGAACTTGTTGCACTCGTTATATAGGCCCTATTACTTTGTGTGATATGAGGTCAGGACTTGTGTAAATGCTCAGTTATCTTTTTGACCTTTTTCCTGATGTGACCTTTGACCTACCTGATGCTGATGTCCTGAGCCTCTTTCATGAACTTGTTGCATTCCTCTGAGAAGTCCGGTAGTTTCTCCAGGAGGCTGTTGACGTGTGTTTCCACCAGGTTGAACTGACAAACAAATGATAATGAAATGTAAAGAAATTAGGACTATTAAGTTTTTAAAGATTTTCATGGCGGATTAACTAAAAGTCAAATTTAATGACAGACACGATGTACATGTACGCGGACACCATCTTAGCAGCTTTGAGTGTCATTCCAGCATCCGAAAATTCGCTATAACGAACGGCCACTATAACAAACAATCTTTTTTTGACCCCATTGTGTTCATTATAGCGATGTTCTGCTGTACTATTTGGTTACGTTACAGGCATCTTACATCTTCCACTATTTCCTTGCAACAATCTGCCGTCTCGATGAACGTCTTGTAGTTGTGGAAGGCCAGCTCCTGGGTCTGTTGCAGAATCTGAGCTCTCTCCTCCGCAAGACGCTCCGGCTCTCGATCTGAGATGGACCCAGAAAAAAAGACGACATTTTCATGATTTTGTCTACGGGGTTGGTGCCTTACAGTATCATTTCTCTTCAGTAAAAATAGACTACGTCGTGTCTGAATTGTCACAAGGATTTGCTCAAACTGGTGCGAGTGCCATCGGTTCTTTAAAATCAAGACAAGGGAAGCCTAATAAAGCTGGTCATAGAGCACACAAAATCCTATTCAATTGATTCAGAACGGCTTTTCACTGGAAGTCTTTTCCATCTGGTCTGCACAATGGGGAGGGGGGGGGGGGTTAAGTTTCAACAAGGCCAGCCCAGCAGTTAAATTACATAAGGTGACTGTTTTCAACAGTTGAGTGCTCCATGCCTTCAAAGGTAGGTTTGACTGGCAGTGATTGTTATGAAACCTGATACAGCTACATGTATGCTTTGAATGTAGGTGATTGATAAGCCAGCTGTGCCAACCAGTCACCTGCTCGTGTCTGTTGATGGAATTTGACTGTCACAGTGCCTACAAGAAATATGATCTGACTGTTGGTGACTAGCCTGTATAAAAGGCATGTTAGGGGAACAGGATTGAATGTTTGACTGTCTGTGACTGATCAAACACAAGGAGGGAGGGTTACTCCTCTTGAGTACTTACTGAGCTTATCCACTCCATAAGAACTGAGTTCTGCTAGGTACTGGGCAAAGTCTGGGTTCTCTCTCCAAGAATCTGATGGGAAAAAATTACACAATTATGTGAGTGACTGCAGAGTTTTTGCTCTTCCAAAATCTTCTCAACCTCATTTTGGGGAAAGAGATTGAAAATATTCTTCTTTGATTTACCCCACAATTAAAGGCTAAGTAAAAAGGCTAAGTAAGTTTAAAATCTGGTACAAATGGTGACAGCTCCTTGGAAAATCGGATGCAAATGTAGCAGCAAAAGATTAAAGAAAATGCAAGAATCCATCCACTATCTGCCATCTTTGGGGAGAAAAGGGCCTCCTCCTTTCTTTTTTTTAAAAAGCCCTGAAGAGAAACCATTTTTTAAATTTTACTTGGCTTCAAAAATAGGAACAGAAAAATGTGACTCTATGAGAAAGCAATTTATTCTTGATCAGATTTCCATAAACAAAGAATTCTGAATATGGTCAGAATGTCGGGATTTGGCAATGTTTGGTCACATTTTTCATGCCCCAGGGTGGGGATTTTGGTCACTCAAATTACATTGTTAACATTGGCGTACTGCATGGAAAGGCAATCACTAGTGCGCCCCACGTATCTATGTCGGGGCATGGTCGGGGATTGTCACTTATAAATTTGGCAGTGGATATTTTGCCGGAGACGGCAAACCTTTAGTAAACGTTAGTTTGCCGGATATGCACTGAACATGCGCAGTTACTGTTTTTTTGTACTTCCACATTTTCCGGTGACAAATTTTAGTCTGGCTCCATGCCAATATTATCGTTGTAACCTCGTATTCACAAGATGGGATTCAGACCATTTTATAATTTCGGACTTTACTTCCCTTTAAAAAAAATCCTCCAGAGCCACAAATCTGAAAAAGAAAATGTAATTCTCTGCAATAAAATGTTTGAGACATGTTAAAATAATAAAAGAAGAATATTCTTTTTTATTTGGGGATGGGAAAAAAAAACTTAAAAATGTGGCGGGGATCGGGATCGAACCCGAGTCATCCTGCTCACTAGAGCTTTTGCTTAACCACTACACCAATCGTGCTACACAACTTTTGGTGGGAATTTAATACATGTTAAATTCTTAAAGAGTACAGCGCCCTCTGTTGATATGGATTGCCGTCGGCAAACCTTTAGTAAACGTTAGTTTGCCGTCATACCTCCGGCAAAATATCCACTATCTATAAATTTTGCCCAGGCTCACGGCCTAAACAAAAAATAAAACAAAAGGACTAAAACGAAAAGAGAAACCTGTAGGCCTAGGCCAAACTACACAATCGCCGATCTTACTTATTTATTTATTTTTACGACATCCAGAAAAGACGATTTCTGAGGTTAATTATCGTAAATCTGACCTGGAAAAACATCTTTGAAAACTGATGCTAAAATTGTCTCATCTTCCACGTCAATGGGAGTCGCCATCTTGTTTATTGAATACTGCCCTCTTTTGATTAAATCCGTCCAGTCTGCCAGTCAAAAGCTGTAGCGCCCTCAATAATTGTGTATATCATGAAAAAAAATAGATGAGGACTTATAAAGGCTATTATTAACAAAAGGTATGTTTGCCGATATCAAAATATCGGTTTCCATGACTTTTCGTCAAAGGATGCACGAAATAATGTATTATTATAGAAATTCTCAGACTCCAGCCTAAATCGTCCCCCAATTCTATTGATAATTGCAACTTGCATATGTTTCATTCCAACCAAAATATCTCCCTTCCTCCCAACCCCTGCCCCTTTTTTGGACGTCTGTAACCCTTTCGAAAAGTTTTTCATTTGAAGCCAAACAGATCCGCTTTACAAGCAGACTGGCTCCCGGTCCGTACATTATTGATACTGATCTTCGGGCGGGAATCAGCCTACCCCGCGAGAACGGAATTGTCTGGCAGTCAATATTTTCAAATTGTGTAATCATTCAAAAACTAAACAAGGGCAGAATTTTTCTACGGTCAATGTTTCATTAAAAAGTTAACGTTTGTATTGCTAGAAAAATAGCAATTTAGAAAAGGAATCTATTTTTCGGGATGAAACTCGAAAATAGCACTTAAGTGTAATGCACTATAGTCAGTGCCCCTTTGTGCTTTAGTTGAAACTTGTCAAACTGTAATCCTCATTATTATATAGAGGGCGTCGTTGTTTTTGCTACGACCGATCTGCTTGACTTGACAACCATAATGAATCCATGTCGAATTGCAATCCAAACAAGTTTCTTGCAAAGTTTTATCCGATTTGCTGTCAAGAAAATAAGGAATTTCTCCCATGATCTGGACGAAATGATTAACTTTACCGGTAAGCCAATACAATCTTAATGGCAAGGTTGGTGTAGCGGTTCTTTCCTCGCCTTCTACCGCTGCGGCCCGGGTTCGAATCCTGCCTGGGCCAATATGTGGATTGAGTTTTTTTAGTCCCTGCCTTATTCCGTGGGTTCACCACAAAATATTCTTCTGGGGTTTCCCTCCCTCCTCTAAAACTTTCTTCTCATTATATTAGTATCTCCTCTCGACAGGTTTCTTCAAGCTTGCGAGCTACTCGGGCCTAAAAAGAAAAGAAATATCATTGGAAGTTTAAGGAGGAATATAATTGGTAAAATATATTTTTAACTACAAACTTTCAGTGCCACTAAATTATTACGGCAATGCGACTCGAACTTGTGTTTTCAGTCTACTGCAAGAGTGAACCTTAAAATGCACAGAAGTAGAAAATACGGTTACAAAAAGGAGAGAACAATTACATAAGGCCATTACATTGATTTTCATCAATGATGGTATCTTTGTCTGACTAAAGCAAGGAGTTTATAAACCGTTCACTTAGGTGGTTTTATTCACCGCTGGAAACATGTATAGACAAAGTTGTAAGGCTGCCATCACGTGTAAACAAAAATTATTAGGGTTGCAGACTAGACCAGTAAATAGACTGCCATAGACTTCAGTGATAATGCGCACTTCCAAAATTATTAAAATACTCACAATTCATCAAGGTGTTTGAGACGCATATCTAATTAAAGCTTATTTCATCATCTTTCATTTTCCGGGGTTTTTTTTCGGGGGGGGGGGGGTTAACCAATGAGTTTTGGGAGAAAATTTCATCCAAAGTTCACCCCTAAAATCAGTCCTGAAGCCCATCGAAATTTTGAAAATGGACGACTCCGTTGCAAAATAGAGCCGTTTCGGGACCTAATTTCATCCAAATTTCACAGAAAAAGCAGCTCGCAGTCCTCTGCACGGCTTCCACCCGGTTTTTTTCGGTGTTTTTTTTTACAAATCCTCAAGTTCATGGCCCACAAAATGCTCTAATACCGGAGAATATTAGGGCATGCAAATCGTGATTTGGTCGGCGTAGGCCGTTCTGCGGACAATAGATTGAATGAGGGCGCTGTTACGACACGATTAAGTTGGGAGTATAAACAGACGCGTATGCAATGTTATTGACGTTAAGTTTAGTTTACAATTACATGCTACTACAATTAAAAAAAAATACTTGTTTTTTTTACAAGCTTTCATTTTTAGATTCAAGTAAAAGTACTTAACTGCTTCAATGAACAACACATTTTTCTGGTGTAGTTGTACACAGAAAATGGCGTCCGTATAGTGCCATCATATTCGATCAGAAATGAACGTTCATAGACATTTTCGACCCCGACATTTCGCTCGTATCCCCCCCCCCCCCCCCCCCCCCGCGCCCTGCAAACAGGACGCTGGTAAGGGCTGACGTTATTGAGCTCTCATTGGATAGATTTGCGTGACCTGTGACGTAGAACGCGTCACACAAACTAGCTTCCGGTGCCCATCATGCGTAGCGCGCGCTAGCTGCATGCGAAGGTCAATCTGTACTTCCTTCACAAGATTCTTACCAGCGCCCTGTTTGCAGGGCGGGGGGTACGAGCGAACCCCGACATTTGAAGAAAACAAAAATTGTTGACACTCTCAAGACGATAGTTTCCCTTTAAAGATGTATTCCCTGTGCTATTTCGTCACAGTTTCACCCCGAAAACTCGCTTCCTTTTTTTTCAATCACTTATAATTTCCTAGCAGTATAAAAGTTATCATTCAGTTTTGAAAGAGAATAAAAAAAAAATCCACCGACGTTAAGTTATTGATTTATTTCTTTACAAAATTCGAATTATTAGCGGCCCGACAAGAATTCAGCTCTCACATGATGGGTTCACATTTTGTGAGGAAAATGAAGCCATTCTCAGAGAGTTGAAGACGCCCAATATTGGGGGAATGTGAGGTTTTTTCCCCCGTTAATTAAACATCCAAATTTGGAGAAAATTATCACTTTTTTAAAGCACGGGGTACGCATCTTTAAGTGGAAACAATACCCTCTTCAAGTCCCATTCCTTCCCGTTTCTGTTCAGCACGCGTACAGACCTTGATGGGAAGTGAGGGACACTGTTTTTGGAAGGAAACAGAATTTCCGATTATTTTGTACCCTCCCGCGACTGTTGTTGTTACAACATCGCTTCCTCTTTCGCTTTCCATGTAACTGTAGATGACATTTGTGTGGTGTGAACCAACAAAACAGGATACATTGCAAGTTGTATAGGTTAGCAACAGAACATGTCGAACATCCAGCGCAAAAAACAATTTGCCGTTTTGGTCTGGTATGCAACGATCATTTCCCATGTTTTGTTCCTTTTCTCCTTTTTCTTTTCTTTAAACAGGAAATACCCAAAAACTTGCATCCACCTTAAGGTTTTTCTATCTTTTCCCCTTTTTTAACTTTATATTTAAGTTTGTGCGAGGGATGAAGCAAAATCCTGTCTATTTGCAAAATACACATAATAGTAGAATATTAAACTGGGGTCCCGGCAACGTAAGGGGGGATTATTTTCTAGAGGGGCACAATTGCAATGGGTTTAGCCATAGTTGCAACTGAACTGTATTATGATGCTATTTTTGGCCTTATTCAAATTTTGAGCGATTAAAGCATGGGGGGCACAGCTAGGACTCGAGGAGGGGGGGGGGGGGAGGAGGGTGCCCCATGCGGCCATACCACTGATAACAACACTTTTTTGAATGTCTGTAATTCATCTATAGACAGTCACACACACACGCACACACAGTCGTTTTTTGCTATGCTTCCGAGGATCATATCGGGACGGTCGACAAATGTGATTCAACAAATCGCCTCAGAGACTTAAAGTGACAGCGTAGAATACGCGTACGTACAGCCTTCTAAATTTCCAACGTGCCATAGTACATAGATTTTTTTTAATTAGTGGTATATAATATAATTTTAGCTGTCTATGCAGGATGCATATGCCTGTACCGTACAGGCATTATGCATCCTGCATAGACAGCTAAAATTATATTATATACCACTAATTAAAAAAATTCTATGTACTATGGCACGTTGGAAATTTAGAAAATATTCCGCGGAAAGTTACCACGGTTCATTAACTCAAAATATGGAAAAACAGGTGGTCATCCAACTACGTGGGTGGTCTGGCCATAATGTCCAAATATAGATGCAGACCCACCCACGCATGACTTGCGCCGTGTGTGGACAATTGTTTTTGGACCACGCGGTCCATTGTCTGAGGGACCTTTTCATTGCGTACCCATATTAACGTGTTCATATAGCTCGGGGTCATCTAAGATTTGTATTTGTAAACTTGGCACGCTGCCAGATTTTTTTTGCCACAGGAGATATTAATTCCTTTAAATTAAAGGTAAGATCAGATATACATGTTCGCTTTCGATCTGCATGTAGCGGTAGTAATAAGCATGCAGGTACAATCATGGAGGAAGGAAGGAACACAATAAACTTGCTTAAATCCATGGACGTAAGGTTTTAATATAGTACACTGTCCCAAATTTGACGTGCTCGTGCCATTTGCATGTGTATCGAAATTATGTAATCTTTCAGACATTCATTGGAAGTAACAGAAATTTCTTCCCGATACGCTACGTCTATTTATTTTTTTCAAATATGCAGTACACTGAAACAAAGTGATACTAACATACAGTAAGAGACATCATGGCGATCCCTAGGAATATAACAGAAGTAGACCTTAACACTATAGTAAGGGCCAAAATGCGGCCTGTCTTTTGATATCCATTATATGGCCTACTACAACAATAGACGTTAAAGGAAATGTACAACATTTGCTTTTGCTGTAATTTTCAAGAGGGAAATGGAAGTTAGAGGAATAGTTTGTTAGATTAGAGCAAATATTGTTACACTGACTTGTTTCACGTTTTGGGTTCGTAGATGCTGGAAAAACCAAGAAAGCTAATGTTGTTCTTGTAGTTCCATGACCCCACTTAAGAAGAAACGAAACAATTTATAGACGTTTGGGAATTATAATTATCAGAGAATCAGTCTAGCTGGCTTGGACCCCTCAACAGGTGTGTTATCAATTGCAAAGGAAATACGGAATAACTGAGTATGAAAAATTAGGAGCAGTTTTGGAGAAATAAAAGTTTTTTCCAACGCTGGTCGGCCGACCAGCGTTGGAAATTGATACAAAAATACCACTT